GTGTTATAGTTCATCCAATACCGATACTCAAACCCAAAAATGCATTGTTTTGAGCATGAAAATGTGACCTAACACTACCTATTTGCCCCATTAAGGCCATTAAACAATGTTTAAGTCTTATGTAAGATTTTAGGGAACATAAAGAGTCAGTTTTCATGTTGAATAACTTCATAAACTATAATCTAATAAGAACATGCTAATAAGAACATGCTCATATGCTCCATGAACTCATGCAAGCAAACTAAGAACACTTAGTGACTCACATGTGGTATAAAGAGGTTAGAAATGTGTTACATTAGTCTTAAGTTAAACATCCTCAAATCAACTAAGAACCAACTTCTCTTTGCCCTTGATCTTGAAATTTTCTCCAATCTCTTTCATTAATCATAACAAGGGAAATAAGTTACTAACCCATTTAGGAACTTAGAATAAATCTAAGAATACTTCCTAGAACTTAAATCCATTAAAAACGGATTGAAAATCTATAGTTTCTTAAACCTCCACTTAGGGTCACTATGACTAAAACTTGATTTTAATGGCTTGAATGGAAGCTAATGATGAGTAGATTACAACCCTTACCTTGGTGTTCTCGGATTAGGCTCGCAAGACCAAAAAGTTTCAACCTTTGATCAATTCTTGGAGAGAGAGAATGAGATGAATGATAAGGAAGAAGATAAAGGAAAGTAGGGTAAAAGAGGGAAGCTTGAGAAGTTATATCATCCCAATTAATGAGAATTCAGTCTTTCAAAATAAAATTGGTATAAACGCTCCCTTGGTCCCTCAATTTTTAAGCTTAAATCAAAACTACACTTTTTAAACTCCAATTGGGCCAAGCCAAGCCCAAACTTGGACTAAGGCTTTCTATAAGCTAATGAGTTCATCTAAGGCCCTCTCAGGTTAGCCCGAAACTCTTGACCTAGAATTTAGGGCGTTAAAAGCAAATCCTTTCTTCTTAGTTATTACATTATTTTAGAACTATAATTTTTGTTTTACCTTTAATATTTGATCATTGTTGAAAGGGTTTAATTGAAGTATTGAGCTTTTATTTCACTGTTGGGGTAGTAGGACACCACAAAGTAGGGTATTACATAGTTGTTGAAGTACCCAAAGATGATCTCGACATGGAGAAGTCGTTTTACGGGCCAAATGTTTAGCCTGGAGATGGTAAACTATATCAAAATTTGTAGATCAATTATCTTGCAAGATCATGTTTAAAGAAATTTTCTTTTGAAGATGTTTTGCCTAGATGGAGGCATATTATGGAAAATTTCCATCACGAGGCATTGTAAGTTATATAGATAATATGTGATTAGGTCACCAACTGGCCATACATGTTTTTATGATAAACATGTGTGAAGAATATCAACTAATGAGATTTTGTTTTTGTTCATTATGTGCAATTAGGGAGGTGGCCAAAGCGGTTGCAAGGATCATAGCGCTTGCACTCGACCTCAAGGTTGATTTTTTCGGTAAGCCTGAGATAATCGGGAACTCTATTGCCACCTTACGGTTATTACACTATGAAGGTCGAAGATCGTGAAACTTCATTACTTTGATTTCCGTGTCTGTGCACAGTTGATATATAACTCTTAAATCTTGTATGCTTTTCAGGTCAAGTTTTTGATCCCTCGAAATGAATATAAAACTGGTGCATATTCAGAAAATGGATTGATTACACTCTTGGCAACAGATGATATGATGGGTCTGCAACTATGAGTGTTGTAGTAACATATGATTATACCATAGTTATACTCTGTATTTCACTAGTTAACAAAAATATATTGTGGTTCTTGTTGGAAAATTATGATAAATTAGAAAATTTGAGGCATATTTTCTAAGAGTAAAGATGGAAATTCAAATGATAACTTTGCGGATTCATTTTCTACTCCATAAGATCTTTACAATGACATCTCATATGCTCAAAACAGTTGAGTGATGAATGAGAAATTGATGCTCAAAGTAAGGTACATGTGAATTGTGTTTTGTAAGGAAAATGGGAAAAACCCATATCCCACATTGGTGGGATATTAAGCAAGGAAATGATTTATATACACAAACCAACTTACTAGTCATTGAATGACTTGGATTGAAATTGTGCATCGCGTGCAGGCGTAAGGGGTGTAAATTGAAGCCCGCCGAGCCCTTCAAGGTTGGGGGTGCACCCGTATAATGTGGGCGACGCTAAAGTCCATACTGATAGGGCACTTTTGGGGTTTAAGAATATTTTACGCACTACTAATTAAATATTTTCCTTGAATGTGACATATCTTTTTTAATATTTTGAATTAAAAAGGATATTATATGATTTCCTTTTTAATCCGAATATTAATTTGGTATGACTTGCATTTCACATCTATATTATAATTAAGGCAATATTAATTTATTATTTCTAATTTTAGTCGGATACTAATTAATAGCCATGATATATTATTTCCAATTTTTTAATATATTAAAACACTATAAATACTGCGTAAATCAACTAAATTTTACACAACCAAAAATCTTTTATTTTCCCTATTTTCGGTGATATTCTACATGATTCATTGTATCCAATGTATTCTACATATAAAGCAGAAAACAAATTGTGGGAGGCATTGGACCATAAATATCAATCAGAAGATGTTAAACCTAAAAAGTTTTTAGGTGCCAAATTATTGAAGTATGCTTTGGTTAATTCCAAACTAATTGTAAAACAAGTGGAGGAATTCCGAATGATTATTAACAAAATTCTCGATGAGAATATCGTCATAAGTGAATCATTCCAAGTGGCAACTATTATTGAGAAACTACCTCCCTGATGGAATGACTCTAAGAATTACTTGAAACATAAGAGGAAGGAAATGACCATAGAAGAACTTATTGTCAGACTTCGCAATACAGATGAAAATATAGTTAATTCTAAAAAGCTCAACAAAGAATCCTTTAAGGAGGCTACGACAAATATGGTTGAAGTTAAGCACTTCAAGAAGGAAAAACATCCCAATAATAGGTCAAAGATAAAACCTAAAACTGGCATTTCCAAGAAGGAAAAGTTCCAGGGAAAGTGCTACAACTATGGAAAGATGGGGCCCAAGTCTACTGAATGCAAACAACTAAAGAAAGTCAAAGCTCGCGAGGCAAATGATGTGGAAGGAATTGTCAAAAAGTGGAAGACTTGGATCTATGAGTTGTGATCTCTAAAGTCAACTTGGTTGACTCTAACCCAAGAGAATGGTGGCTTGATACTGGATCCATGTGTCATATCTGTTGCAACAAGGATTCTTTTTCTAAGTTGATATCCTGCGACAATGGGGAGAAGCTTTACATGGGAAATGTTGTGACTTTCGAAATCAAGGGGAATGGTATTGTGGTCTTGAAGATGACATTTGGAAAAGAACTCAAGTTGTAGAGTGTATTGTATGTTCCTAACATACGAAAAAAATATTGTATCTGGAACACTCTTAAGTGTTAATGGCTTTAGGATTGTGCTTGAATCCCAAAAGATGATTTTTTTTCTAGGGGGAATGTTTGTGGAAAAAGGGTTTGTATCCAATGATATGTGGAAACTAAATACAATCTCTGTAAAAGCTAAAATAATGAATAAGAATATCGTTTCTTCTTCCGTTTATATGATTGAGTCATTTAATTTATAGTATGGTATGCTTGGACATGTTAATTATGATACCTTAATTAGGTTGATTAATTCGGAACATATCCCTTTGATTTATATAAATTATAAACATAAATGTGAAACATGTGTTAAGGCAAAATTAACAAGATCTTCATTTTAAACAGTTGAAAAAAACACTGAACCTCTTGATCTAATACATAGCGACGTTTGTGACTTAAAAATTGTACAAACAAAGGGAGTGAATAAATATTTTATTACCTTCATGGATGATAGCATGAAGTACTACTATGTCTATTTTCTTAAAAGAAAAGATGAAGCTAAAGAGAAATTTAAACTCTATAAGCAAGAATCAAAAGCCAACTTAGTAAAAAGAGTAAGATGGTAAGAATTGACAGTGGTGGTGAATATGTTGAACCATTTGGTGATTTTTTTACAACATGGTATTATTCATGAAATAACTCCACCCTATTCTTCTCAATCTAATGGAGTAGTCGAACAAAAAAATTGGACTCTAAAAGAAATGATGAACACTTTGTTAGGAAGTTCTAGGTTATCTGAAACATGTGGGGGAAGTTGTTCTTTCAGGAAATTACCTTTTAAACAAGGTAGCCCAAATGAAAAATGACAAGACACTATATGAGTTATGGAAATGCTGAAAACCTTCATACAAACACTTAAAAATGTGGGATTATCTTACCAAGGTAATGGTCTCATTACCAAAACAAATGAAAATATGTCCTAAAATTGTGGATTGCATTTTCATTGGCTATGCAAAACATAACAATGCATATTGGTTTCTTTCGTATGAATTAAAGAATCTGAGATTCATAAGAACTCAATAATGGAATCAAATAATGCATCATTCTTTAAAGATGAGTTCCCTTACAAGTCTAGGATGGTTGATCATAGTTCAATAAAAATGAACTTTAGAGACTAACAATGAAGACAATCCAAATGATCAACATGAGACTAAAACTGAAATAGAGCCAAAAAGAGAAAAATTGGCTAAAGTGGAAAGATCATTTGGATCAGATTTCCTAAATTTTATACCAAAGGTTGAACCTAAAACGTACCACGATGATATACAGTCTTCGGAAAACACCTTATGGAAGAAATCCGTCAAAAGATAGATCGATTCCATCATGAAAAATCACACATGAGAATTAGTGGATCTTCCTCTAGGAATGAAACCACAAAGTTCAAAATGGATTTTTAAACGGAAAATGAAAGTTGATGGAACAATTGACAAGTGTAAGGCCAAATTGGTAACTGAAGGTTACCGAAAAAATGAAGGCCTTGATTATTTTGATACATAATATCATGTATCATGAATAATATCCATTAGAATGGTACTTGCAATTTCTTCTATGCAAAATCTATAAGTACATAAAATGGATGTTAAAATTGCTTTTCTAAATGGAGATCTCGATGAAGAAATATACATGGAACAACCCAAGGGTCATGTAGTTTCAGGTCAAGAAAGAAAAGTATGTAGATTGGTGAAGTCTTTGTGTGGACTTAAACAAGCACTAAAACAATAGAATGAGAAGTTTAATAATGCCATGATGACAAATGACTTAAAGATAAACGAATGTGATAAGTGTGTAAATGTCAAAAACATAAACATAAGATATATGATTCTATGTTTATAAGATGATGGCATAATCATTGTTTGAAGTAACAATGAAATGGTAAAATGTACCAAAGATATTTTAAAATTCAAGATTTAACATGAAGAATATGGGATTAACCAACACGATTTTAGGCATCCAAATTAAAAGGTCATTTGAATGTCTCATATTGACTCAATCACACTATGTGGATAAGGTTCTTGAGAAATTTAACAAGGATGATTCTGGTATAGCCAGAACTCCAATAGATTCTTGTTAATTTGTCTAAAAACAGTGATGAAAATGTTCACCAAGTGGAATATGAAAGGGTTATAGGCAGTCTAATGTATCTTATGAGATATACTAGATTGGACATTATTTTTACAGTAAGTAGTTTAAGCAGATTTATAAGTAATCCAGGAAAAGACATCTAGAAAGCAATAAAAATGATATTGAGATATCTCAGATATACTCGAGATTACAAATTGTATTATTCCTAAGAACCTGACATTCTTGAAGAATACTCTGATTCCAGGTGGATATAAGATATTTAAGATCCTAAAAGTAAAAGTGGATACGTATTCACTTTGAGAAGAGAATTTGTGTCATGGAAATTTTGTAGCTCTAGATAAATCTAGAGAGGAAACAAAGTGGCTTCGATATTTTCTTGAGGGCATACCTATATAGCTGAAACATGTTCTCACAATATGCATATACTGTGACAACCAAACAACAATTGCTAGAGCACATAACTACATGTACAATGGTAAATCGAGACATATGCATCATCGACACAATATCGTTAGACAATTGATCTCAAATGGAGTTATCTCTATTGATTTTTTAAGATCAAAGAATAACATCGCGGATTCTTTAACCAAAGGGTTAAATCAAGATTAAGTTGAGAAAACATCTAAGGGAATGGGACTAAAGCCCATGAAAATCAAAAGGTGTTATGTGAAGGAAAACCCTACTTTGTTCACTAGAGGTCCCTAAATCTAGGTTTAAAAGGATTACCTAATTACATAAAACATGTACGGTCACTGTGGGAGTTTGCAAATCCCAAGTCCGTTCCTATTAAGTAAAACAATGATTAAAGTGGTATAAGCTAAGCAAGGCTTTTAATTACCATTGTGTGGTCTGATGTGTCGAGAAATGTAAGTAAACAATGTGAGAGTGAAGTGAGGTCGCTTCAAGGAGACTATAGGGCATAGTTCTTTGAAACTGTTACATAAGCAAGCAATGTTTACGGCTATATGGACATGCTCATGAGAACTAATATACTTGTCAGAAAGACAATTGTGTGAAGTATATCATTTACACAAACGGAAGAACAGATCAAGGACACCACATCTATTGATGAGCCAGTAAAGTAAATATACTATACAACTATCATTCGTGGGGTCTATCACAACATTAAGTTAAAAGTTTTTGATAAAATCATCAATTTCATTCATGTGGGGGATTGTCGAAAAATTGTGATAATTTGGAAACTTTTAGGTATATTTTATAAGAGTAAAGATAGAGATTCGAATAATGAATTTACTGATTCATATTCTACTCCATGAGATATTTACAATGGTATCACGTATGCTTAAAATGGTTTAGTGATGAATGAGAAATTGATGCTCAAAGCAAGGTACATGTGAATTGTGTTTTGTAAGGAAAATGGGAAAAGTTCATATCTCACATTGGTGGGATATCAAGCAAGGAAATGGTTTATATACACAAACCAACCTACTAGTCATTTAATGAATTGTGTTGGAACTGTGCCTCGCGAGAAGGTGTATGCGCCCTCGTATGGCGTGGGTGACAAGAATATCCATACCGGTAGGGCCCTCTAGGGGCCTACGGATATTTTTCCCACTACTAATTAAATATTTTCCTTGAATGTGGTATATCTTTTTGAATATTCTAAATGAAAAATGATATTATATGATTTCCTTTCTAATTAAAATATTAATTGAGTATGACTTGTAGTTCACTTTTATATTCTAATTAAGGTGTTATTAATTGATTATTTCAGATTTTATTCGGATAATAATAAATAGCCACAATATATTATTTCAAATTTTCTCCTATGTGAAAATACTATAAATATTGTGTAAACCAACTAGGTTTTACACAACCAAAAATCTTTTATTTTCTCTGTTTTTAGTGATATTCCCTAACAAGAAAAATGTTTGTGATCTCGCAAGTTTTGCTACTTTATGTTGATCATATCATTTTTGTATCCTGGGAGACAGATGACCAAGATATCTCAAGCAGTAAGAAGTGACCGAAAATCTATCTTAAGGAAACTGCGTAATTGCAGGTATCAACTCGTACCAATTACTACTCGAGTTATGTACTCTTAACTGTATCTCTTTTCCTTTACTAATAAAATTTTATTTTATTTTATTTTCGTCTCGGATTGTGTAACAATCTTAAGAAAAAATCTTATTCTTTTACCTTTCTAAAACAAATTTGAGATAATTCAGAAAAACTTATGGAAATCAAAGCAACACATTTGTTTCAAGAATTATCCTAACGTTTTAACGAGTTTGCTTAAAATGGAGAAACCTATTGAACAGAAATTGTCGGTGTAGTAACATTGGTTACTAATTTTGGTTTTGTTTCTTTTACAGAACAATGGAATCAACAAATTCCAATGGGTTACCCAGCTTGGATATGAGAATGATGGTTCTAGTTCATAATCAAAATCCGAATGTGAATCAATTGACAGTGGCAATTAACCACAGTGAAACACCATTGAAATTTTGAAGGGAATTTTTCAAAATATGGCAGTAAAAGATGTGGTTCTATCTGACCACGGTAAACTATGAAAAGTTCTTGAAGGAAGATCCTCATGCTTTTAAAGAATAAGAAGGTAAATGAGAGGTAGATAATATCACCGCCTTTAACATGGTTAAAGCTTGGAAACACTTTGACTTCATATGAAGGAATTATATCCTAAATTGTCTACATTATTCATTGTATCCAGTGTATTATACGTATGAAACGACAAGGAAATTGTGGGAGGAATTGGACCATAAATATCAATCCGAAGATATTGGAGCTAAAAAGTTTTTAGTTGACAAATTCTTGAAGTATGATATGGTTTATTCCAAACCAGTAGTAAAACAAGTGGAGGAATTTCAACTGATTATTAACGAAATTCTCGTTGAGAATATGTTAATAAGCTAATCATTCTAACTGGCAGCTATTATTGAGAAGCTACCTCCCGGATTGAATGACTTCAAGAATTTCCTGAAGCATAACAGTAATGAATTGACCATGGAAGAACTTATTGTTAGACTTCGCATCAAAAAGAACAATAGAGTTAATGCCAAAAAGCTCAACAAAGAACCTTTCAAGCCAAATCTGGGACCTAAATTTTGAATTTTCAAGAAAGAAAAGTTCCATGGAAAGTTCTACAACTGTGGAAAGACGGGGCACAAGTCTACTGAATGCAAAAGACCAAAGAAAGTCAAAGCTCACGAGGCAAATGTTGTAGAAGGAATTGTGAAGGATGTGGAGAACTTGGATATATGTGTTGTGATCTCTGAAGTCAACTTTGTTGACTCTAAACCAAGGGAATGGTTACTTGGTACTGGAGCCATACGTCAAATCTATTGCAACAAGGATTCATTTTCTAAGTTGATATCCTGCGAAAATGGGGAGAAACTCTACATGGGCAATGTTATGAAATCGAATTAATCAATCGAACCAAATTAGTTCAGTTAATTTGGCCGTTCATCGAATTAGTTCAATCGGGGAACGATTAATTTTTTTTCAATATTCGGTTAACGATTAATTTGGTTCGAAATCGGTTAATTAACTAAATTAACGAATTATTCAAATTAACCAAAAATATTTATTATTAAATATATTATATATATTAAATCCATATTTCAAGTTCAAAACCATTCAGAATTAAGATCTATTATTTTTTAACCACACTAAATTCATTAAATTATCAATACCTAATTAAATTTTAACCCAAATAAAAAATATCTTTATTATAACCATATTAATCTAATTAAAAATATATAAAATTTTTGGTTAACCGACTGAAATAAAGTTTGGTTCGGTTAAATATTTTAAAAAAAATTGGTTCGGTTAACAGTTAAAGAAAAAAATTTGGTTAATTTGGGTAATGGTCATTCGGTTCGGTCAATGGACAAATTAACCGTTTGAACAACACTAAAAAGGGTTTTGGGGTACTTAAATATGAGGGACTCGTTTTTCGTACCCCTAGAGTTTCGAAGTGTAGTTCAGTTTGATCATCTCTTGTAATTGAGCTTTTAAATTTCAATTTAATCCCTCTTATTTATTTTATTTTATTTTAAATTTATGCCCTAATATTTTTTGTAGAATTTGTTCTTTTTTATTTTTATATTTATCATATCTTTATCCTAACATTTATTTTATTTTTTAAGGATAATAATAAATTTTCAAATAATAGTCAAAGGTAAATAATTCGAATCAAACTTAAATTTTATTTTTTTAAAAAAAATTTAATTTTTGCGATTAAGACAATTGGGTAATCAATTGGTACCGAAAGGATGACTCGAGGGTGCTCGTCCTTCCTCGATCATAAACGACTCATGAATCCGACAAATCTCTAGTAAGATGTAGATCCAGTAAACAGTAAGTTCGAGGTGTTCGGTCCACCTATTTAAAAAAGCGATCGGTGGTGACTCTATCACACAATTCAAGTCAAAATACGAACCTGAAACCACCCGAAGGATCGTTGCAACACTTTTCGCATTCCCTGTAGTTTTGAAGCATAATTCGATTTGGTCACCTGTTGTAATTTTGCCACTGAATTTTCTTTTACATGCAATTTGGTCCTTTTTTATATACTTTATTTTTTATTCTAAATTGATACAATGACTTTTTTGTTTTGAAAATGTTTTAATTCTTTTTTTCTTTTTTTCTTTTTATACTTATTTTATCCTAACATTGATTTTTTAAGGAACTCATTAAATTTCAAAGTAATCTTCAAAAGTAAACAATTAGTATTGAACTTAAATTTTAATTTTTTATTTAAATTTTAAAATTTCCGCGATTAAGAAAATTGGGTAATCGAATGGTACCGAAAGGGCGACTCAAGGATGATCATCCTTTCTCAGTCGTAAACGACTCCCGAATTTAACAAACGTCTCGTAAGACAGAGATCCGGTAAATGGTAAGTTTGAGGTGTATGATCCACCTAAATCAAAAATGATCGATGGTGACTCCATCATTCCAAGTCGAAGCACGAATCTGAGACCACATAGAGGACCGTTGCGACAAGAATAATAAGAGTAAAAGAGAGAGATCGTTTACCTACAGGAGATGGTCGTCGATCATGGAGCAAGGAGTTAAGGGGTCTATGGTTTTCTAAAATGTTTAGGTTTCAAATTAGGTTATTTTGTGGATAAACGAGAGAAATGAGAAGCTAGGTTCGATTTAGGCTAGTTGTGAGACAATCGGTCGCCTTTGGTGGCGGTTGGAGTGAGTACAACGCCAATCTATAGCGGAGATGAGTTCTAAGTGGGTTATATCAAAGAAGGAGAATAGGGTTAGAGAGTTGAGATATGATTTCTCAGTTCTAAGGCTTTCTTAGGTAGTGAGAAGTAGTCGAAATGGAATGCGATCACTATAGTACGATGATAGTCGGCGAAAAGTTTGATAGCTTAGGGTTTTCTATAAGGCAATTGTGAGTGAGGGAAAGGAGAGTTTAGAGTAGATGAGTTTTTAGGGTTAGGTTAAAAAAACCAAAAAAAAAAGAACCTTTATATCTCACATGTTTTAAAACAAAATGGGCAAATCAGTTTTTAGTCCCCTAACTCTCACGTGTTTTTACATTCTGGTCACTAGGGTTTATTTTTGGGTTAACTCTCTTTTAGTCCTGGAACTTTAGTCGTGTTTTATCATTTTAGTCCTAATCTTTATTTTATTATTTTATTTCGAATTTTGCATTGTTTCTCTTGTATTGTTTTATTTCAGTCACTATTTTATATACACTTTTTGAACCTGTCTTTTTATTTTTATTACATTTTAATCCATGTTCTAACAATATTATTAATTTATAATTTACTAACCTATAACTTATTCATTACCGACTTACTAACCTTATAATTTAGTAACCACTAACTTTCAACTTATTAACTGCTAACTTCTAATTTTTATTCGATTTGTTAATTTTTGTTACTTACGTTTCTTTGGCGGTGGCGAAGGAAAGTCGGCAAATGGGAACATTGTTGGAAGATTTATGCTAATTTTTCAGGGTTCTTTTCGGATATAATGGCAGATTTTGCAGCTTTAAAAGAAGGAAATGGTGGGTTTTGTTTAACAGTATGAGTAGAGAAGATAGATTTGGGGATTGCTAGTTTTGAGTTCCTGAAGATGGAAGCCATTGCTGATGTTAAAAAATGAAGCTTGAAAAAACTGGGAGAGGGATTAGGGTTTTAGTATCTCTCCTAGAAAAGGTAAGAGAAATTTCTAATATGAGCATTTAACTCGAAGTAATACAAAAACTACTCTTTTCGGGGCGTATTTTAAGTTTGGCCCATTGGAAGTTTGCATGCTAGGGTCGAAATCCGTATAAACACATTAAAATGTAAAAATAAAAGTAAAAATAAAAATAAGTTAAATACCATTTTGTCACTCAACTATACTTTTATCAAATATTATGATCATCTAAATTTTTTTATTATCATGATTTTTTTATTTTAAGTTATGCCTTTAAATTTCCAAAATTTACATTTCAGTCCCTAAAATTCCAGTCTTTTCTTAATTTTCCTAATTTTGTTAATTTAAGTTTTACATTCTGTTTTTGTGCATTTTAGTCCTTTATTTGATGTGTTTCAATTTTAGATCCTTATTTTAGATTCTTTTCAATTTAGTCCTAGAATCTTGATTTTAGATTGAACCCTTAGTTTTATATTTATTTTAATTTAATCCCTGAACTTTTTAATTTATAGGAATATTCGATTTGGCCCTCGCCTTAATGCCCAATGGTCCATTTCGATTATTCGAGTCAATAATTGGTTAAAATCAATTATGATTAATATTACATTCTTCATTTTAGGCTTAATTTAACTTTATTCCTCTAATTTAGGGGAATATTCGATTTGGCTCTCACCTTAATAACTGAGGGTCCATTTCGATTATTCGATTTAACAATTGGTTAAAATCAATTATGACTAATATTAAAGCCTAAATTTTTTAGCTCTAGTCCTCTAGGTTCTTTAAATTTTATTATTTGACACTTTAACTTAGACAAAAACCTTAATTAACCCATTTAGTATAATTAAATTCAATAAATTGATTGTTTGGTTGCACATCTCAATTTCAAAAAAAGACAATGTTCATTTATTAGGAGGTTAATAGTGTACCTTCCACATTATGCCCGAGGTGACCAATGTTGATTCCCAAAGTAAATCAACATCCTTTTCAAAACCCTACATCATAATTTCTAAATCATCAAGGCAATGCTTGTTTATAAGGATTGAAAATGAAGCTTCCGCTAGTGTCTGAGGGTGGTTGTTATTGGTCTTGGTAAATTAACATCGTCTTCAAAATTTGCATACATAATGAATTTTAAATTAAAAAAAATTCTAAACTCGAAGTTTCCAATTTTAAAATATAGGGTAATTGACTAAGTATCAATTTTGGGTGCTACGGCGTGCTAATTCTTCTTCATGCGTAACTGATTCATAAACCTGATTTCTTATTTTCGCATACCAAAATTTGATATTTTTTATAAAATAAAAATATTTTATTAAAATTGTCCAATTTTAAGTGTTTCAATCGCACCTTAAAAATGATTGGTGGCGACTCTCATATTTTCATTAAAAATCCTTCTAAAAACCCCGTCGTCGTAACTAATTGACTTTTCTCCTGAAAGGCCGACTGCAACAGAAATAATCGAAGAAAATATTAGAGAACAATGGTGTCGAAGATGGTACGATATAAAAATGAAATTTTTAGAGTTTTAAAGTTGTTTTGGAAGATTATGAAATGAAATAAAACTAAAAAATAAAACCCAAATAACATTGACAAAAAAAAAAGCAGAGCAATTTGAAAATGCTAAATGATATACGTGATATACTAGAGTGAAAATGGTGTAATAAGCCAACACTAACTTTTATGTTGCCTCAAATGCGACGGTGAAACAAACGAAGACTAAGAAACAAGTACAAACTTAGCGCTTACAAATATTGGGATACATGTTGTAATCACCATTTTTACCTTCCCTATCCAGCAACCAACGACAGCTGCCTCTCCACGTTGCAGCTACAAACAGCCTCCAGCAAGCTGGGACAGCAGCCCCTCCACGTCCCAGTTCCAGTGGCTTCCATCACCTCCTTTGGCCAGTGACTCACCGGGTTATCCTCCTTTAACCGGTCCAAAGGGTGTACGAAAAAGCCTATAAAAAGCCCCCATAAATGAAGCAAAGGGGAGGGGGCAGAGCAATCAAACAAAAAAACTAATAAAATAGAGTGAAGATACCGAGCAACTTACCTTCGTCGGAGCATCCAAATCACCGAAAAACCACCAAAAAACCGAAGGTAAAAACTTAGATCTACGGAGTTTGGGGGTTTTTAGAACAAGAGGAAGTCGGAATCGGATTTAGAAATAAAAGAGAATTTTTTTTGGGTAATTTTGTAAAATTCAGGCCACCGTGGACGGTGGCTGGCGACGGTGACCGGCCGATCACCGGTATTCCTCCGGTGAGGGAGCTCTAGAGAGAAGCTAGAGCTTCTCTCTCTAAGAGAGATAAGCAAATGGAGAGAAATGATAATTTAGGCCTATTTTGCCCTATTTATACCCTTACCAAAACGACGTAGTTTTGGTGAGGGCCTCTGTGTAATTTCCCGGATGGGAAAACCATACACATTATCCTCCTGATTTTATAGACTTATATTTTAGTCACTAAATTAAGTTTTAGAGCATTTTAATTTTGTTCCTGAATTTTATTTTATTATATTTTAGTCCTTTCCAGTAATTATGTAATTTAGGGTAAATAATATATTTAGCCCCTGTAACTTTATTAATTTTTAATTCAATCCCGAATAATTAATATAAGATAAATCATACTGTTAATACTTAGTTTTTATAATATTTTAAATTAGAGATTTTAATTTTAATATGTTATAATTTTTTCCTTAATTTTAATACTTTCATTTATTTTACAAGTTTTATTATCGTTTATTTTATAATATAATTTTTTTTTATTTATTTTAATCGTTATTTATTTATTTTTATATGTTTATATATTAATTATTATTGATTATTATTATGTATCATATAATATATATAATAATAATATTTATTTACTTATTTTTATATTTTATATATATTAATAAAAATCCTATTTAAAATTTTAATTTTATATAAATTACTTTTAAGAAAAATAATCATATTTTAATATTATTTTTTAATATTAAGAAATGGGATGTCTTAAAGCACCTAGAAGTCCTTTTCTGATATTCTTAAATAAATAAATATCATATTTTTATAAATTATATATATATTAATTTATTTTAATTATTTTTAGAAAGATGTTATTTTAATATTTATTTTTAAGAAAAGAGCTGTCTTAAGGCACCTAGAAGTCATTTTCTGATATTTCTAAATAAATAAATATTTTATTTATAAATATATATAAATTAATAGATTTTCTTAAAAATTATAGTAATAAATTTGAGATAACAGAATTATAAATTAAATATATTTGAATTCTTAAATTCTATTATTAGAGACAATTTATAATTAAAAAGTACCAATTTTGGGCGTTGTAGGGGTGCTAATCCTTCCCTAAACGTAACCGACCACGAATCCCTTTTTATTATTAAAAAGAACAAATTTTTGGTTAAAACGCAAACTAGTTTATCTTTTAAATGATGTTTTCTTAAAAACTCTTTTAAAAGATGATTTTTTAGGTATTCGACCTACCTGACCCAAAAGGCCGATGGCGACTCTAAAAATATTTTTTAAAATAAAAATCATTAATTTATTCGTATTACTTTTCCCGCCAAGTAAAATTTCGTGCCCGGACGAAAATCGGTTACGACAGCTTGGCGACTCCGCTGGGGACTGTCAAACTTTAAAATTAATTATAAATTGTCTCTATTAATTAGAAATTAAAAATTCATTTATTTAATTTTTAATTCTTTTCTTTCAAATTTTTATTACTTATGATTTTCATAATATTCATTATATTTTTATTTTTTATTTTTACTTTATTTTCAGATATTAAATTTTATTATTTATTGTCTGTCAAATGTTTGAATATTTCTTCTCACACACAACACTTGCATTGCATAACATAAGCTTTCTAATCAAGTTTGTCCCTTTTAAGTGGGAGTGAAAGCGACGTCTTCGTGAGAATTTATTCTCCGTGTCAGACCTAGCAAGTAACTTTCGGGGTGCATATGCTCTATGTCTTCGTGAGAATTTATTCTCCGTGTCAGGCATAGAGAAATATGTCCCCTCGAATTGAACTCGATCCGCTTAAGTCTGTAATGGACTAGGATTGAGGGTTGACAGCCCAAGGGGGCATCAACAAGGACAGTTCGAGTACCTTTACTCCTAGAACTGAAAACCTGTATATAATAAACCCTAGAAACTCTCCCGATCTGAAACCATGCCGAAATTTTGTCAGTAGGTATACACAAAGGAGAAATAAGCTCTAGCTTTTAATTTATTTTATTTCCTTTTCTTTTTCCTGAATAAATGCATGCGAACTAGAAATCATGCGGTTAGGTTAAACTTTCCAAACAAAGCATGGAACTAGAAAGCATGAGGTTAAGATTTATACCTTGATAGATAGATTTTTTTTCCATTAGTTGGTACTAACTATTCTATTTTTTCTTATTTTTTTCATGCATGTTACATTGCTCTAATCTGTTCATATTGATTTCTTTTGTTTGCATTGCATGATCATGGCATAACCAAAAGGTGTTTACTGGAAAAACTGTTCATCATATTGGAAAGAAATTGTAAATGGACAAAAACTTTTATGATCAAACAAAATATGATGCGGCCAAGGAAAGACATCCTGAAGAAACTACGAGGATCGAGGGAAGTTCTGTACATAGAGAACCGGTTATATTAATACCAAAATTATTACACAAAGATCCTACCAGATTGATACCAAAAGCAGTCTACAGTAAGAGTATCAGTCGGGACATTCAGAGTAGTGGAGGTTTTTATGAAGCTCAAGCATGTTATTTGAAGGACTTGAATGACCAAAACAAGAAATTGAGCACAGAAATGAAAACCATGCATGAAGATTTTCAGAAGATCAGTCAAGCCTTTCGAAATGCTGGTATAGGAAACACCCCAGAAAAGTGGATCACAGGGGTCACCAAGCTGAAAAAGAAATGCAACATATATGAAGATCTTATTCAAGAACTTCTTAGACAGAAAGGATATCTTACAAGGGAAAATGAGCAACTCCGAGAAGTGACACAGAAGATGAAAGAGAATGTCATGGAAGAAGTTGCAGTCCACACAAGCAATATGGTTCTTAAATGATAGATTTAGCTGACTTTATAAGGAGATGAAGCAGACTGAAGACTCAACTTTTGAGCATGAATGGAAACCAAATGGGCTTTGGAGAAGTTAGAAGTGAAAGATATCCCTATATGTAAAGTTTTGTTTGATGTACCGAAACTTTTATGTTCAATGAAATCTGTTCTAAGATTATCACTCTTGAGTAACACCTTTTCATATATACATTTGCATTTTGCATCCTTGCATTTTTCATTTTGTATTTATACTTTTATGTTTCCTTTTGTATTGTACAATTTATATTTTTATTGTTACATTCACATATTTACATTTGTATTTACATTTTGTATTTTTACGTTTATATTTTCATTTTTGCATTTGCATCTTTGCATAATTACATTTTATTTTAAACTATTTTTCATGCATTTAATCATGACAACGTGGAATAATTCGTGGAGAATTCCATGACAGAATTTTTGAAATCAAAGTGGAGCTAACTTGGTCTTCCTAAAGAAGGATAATAGCCATGAATGAGATTTTTGCAAGAATTGGTAGAATTGAGAAACTGCAAGAGCAAATTATCAAGACTCAACAAGAGATGATTGAACAAGCAAAAAAATTCCAAGTTGATTCAAAAGAACAAATGACCAAACTGCTGGACATGATGAATGATATGATCCATGGAGAGAAACCAGAAGATCCTGCTGCGAAGGCTATGAATGAGGTTCTGAATGATAATGACGAGTTCGACATGATAGTGTCTGATGATCAAGAACCTATTAGTGAGTATGGTAATTCAAGACAGCCTCAAGATTTGGTCCCAAGAGACATTGATGAATTAATGGTGAATGAAGAATCAATGAAAGAAAGAAGTTTTGTTGTAAGACATAAGCTTTACCCAAAGAAGAGGAGCATAAAAAAGGGTCAAAGGCTGATCAATGAGAAAAAGAATGTTCAGGATTTTCAATTTCCTCCCTTCCACTTTTCGGGTGAAAAATTACATTAAAAAATGCTCTCAGCTGGATTAACTACTCCACGCTATGTTCAGCCACAGTGGCTTCCAAATGAAAAGTGGACCTATAAGGAGGTTCCGTGGATATACGACATTGAAACTCTAAATTGTTCAGCTAAGGTTCCTAGTAACCTTGAAGGAAATTTCCAAGATCCCTTAGAGCAAGCAATTCAAAAGTGCAAGGTAAAAGAAGGGGTTAAAATTTGATACTCAGAAATCATTGCCTCGACGGAGACTAATGTGATTAAATCTTGCAAAGAATATGGAGTGCAAGAAAATGAAAAAGAAAATAGAAGCAAAAAAGTTCCCATGGATGTAATCCGAGATTGGTCCATAGGTTTAAAAATAAACTGGGAAGATGCGACCATGAAAACATCTCAAACACCTATATCAGACTTCCTGAGGACAGAGGGAACTTTGGGCAGTGTAGAGAACTTGACAAATACTACGCCCATCACAGCTGCAATATGTGTTCAAAACCAGGATAAGGCTATTGTCACCAATGAGAATTGTTTTGAGCCCAACTTCCAACTGATAAACGAGGAGATGAGATCTGAACAAAAAGTTGCTAAGAAAGAAGTAGAAACTGGTGCGTTTGAGGAATCATCCAAACAAGCCCAGATAAGAGAAATGATCAAGAAATGGGGTACAAATGAGGACAATGACCCTGATCCTATTACATACCCAACTTTAGAGGATTAATGATGCATAAACAAGTGGAAGTGTTATCTACCACTGTAGTACTTTCTATTTTCAGCATCTTGTTTGAACTTGTTTTTTTTTTTGTTTCTTTTCTCCGCTTTTGTGCAATAAATAAATGTGTGTTGCTTTTATGGTTATGAGCAAGGAATCAAGTTTTAACCTTGAGATTATTGAGTATCAAGTAGATTAAATATTCTTTTAATTTTTCAAGAGTTATAGATCTTTGGCAAGTGGTAAAATTATATCTTCCATATCCCATCCAACGCCAATTACTTGATCCTTACTAAAACCAAATTTTGACCGTACATTTATCTAATACTCTGAAGAAATGTCTCTACCTGTTTTTGAGACACCAACTCTAGATGTTTACCTTCTCGGATAGAGTTGGTTGGTTTATGATATTACCCCTTCCACCATATATATGATCTCAAAAGTCACACATTTAACCTTCCAAATACAATGCCATCATAAAAAAAACCTCAAAAGAACCAAACTTTCAGTTATCCGTGAATTTTCCTGCAAGAAGAGATGAGATGAAGCATCATGGACCAACTTATCGAAGATAATTTCCAGTGATTGGGACATACAAGTGATGATTGAAATAAATATATCATGCACATTTTTTCATGTAAATAAAGTTATCTTGAAATTCATCCCCCTGTGGATACCTCTTTTTACAAAGGTTTCTGTGTATGAGATGATGAACGACATTGTTTCATTTATCCATATATATATATATATATATATATATATATATATATATATATATATCCTTTATTGTCCCCATTTGAGCCTGAATGATTTTTCTTCTAATTCAACCCTAACCAAGGATCACCCTCCACATTGGGGGGTAAAGTGAAGGATATTTTCCCACAAGAATAAAGATTGTCAATACAGTTTTATTACGAAGACAAGTTTCCATGAAGTCAAGAAAGTTTTGAACTACAAGGTATGTCAAATACAGAGTGCTTGAAGATCAATCCAATCAAGAATAATGGAAAATCTCGAAAATGCAAAAGGAAAAGGAGGTGATCAAAGCAATTAAAGTATTATACTCATCCAGCAAAGAAAGAAGAAGGAAAAAAGAAAAAAAGGAAAAAAAACAAACAAAAACGAAAAGGAAAAAAAGAAAAAAAGAAAAAAGAAAAAAAAAAAGAAAAAAAGAAAAATTGAATCAAGATGGTTGACTTATTGAGCCTCAAGTTACAAGGTTGATCAAGTACAAATAAGAAGAGCAAGAAATGCTGGAAATATGAGAAAATGGAAATGAATCCAAAATTTGGCAGTCTAGAGGGATCCAAATGATGGAAAAATTCCCAACAAAGCAGATCCAAGTTAAGCAAGGCAAGGTGAAGGCATCAGAATGAATTGATCCTTGGTTTGATTACCTATAAACACTTATTTGGGCCTTTTTATCCCTTTCTTTCGTAACCATAAGCCAAGGCCTACGTTACGTACCTGAAAAGTCCATTCTAATCATACATGGATTTCTAAGTGAAAGAGAATATCTTCAGATTTCGTTCCGCCTCTCAAGATTGATTTTTATTTGTAAAAATTGGTTTTTAAAATCTTTAATGCATGATATGAAAAATGATAAAAGGGGGGGTCCAAGATGTAAATTGTTAAATAACATCTTGAAACCAAAGGAGGATTCAAGTTGAAAACCTGAAAAGGCGGCTCGAATATTAAATGGTGCAACAACGACATAAGAGACGATCTTAAGCTCTTAATGAAGCACTTCACATCTCAAAGATGTTCCTGAGAGTCAGACACAAGAAATATCTCTACGAGATGAGCATAACAACGAGAAGTATCTCTACAAGATAAGCATAACAATCATTTCTTCAAGTTAACCCAAAGAGACATATATGTTGGACTAACCTGAGAGACATTACTTTACCAGAATCCACCTACACCTTAAATCAGTTAATAGTTTTGACACTTGCCATAGGACTATGATTTTTGAATGAGTTAAAAGAGTAGTTGATTTATTTGATATTTATTAATTTCATGTCTTATGATTTCATTCTATTGTGAACCTGTGATAGGTAACATTTTACAAAATTCTTTCATTCTTCGATAAAGAAAGGAGAAAAAACGTTTTCAAACAGGACAGTCTCAAATGAGGAAAGTCCTTGAAGCAATTATTGCTTATTCTACCTCTGTTGAAGAAAAAGAATGAACGAGACCAGAATGATGAAACATTTCACTTTCTTGAAAGCAAGTGGTCCAAGAAGCCAGAAAGTCTGGAGAATTGAACTTGTGGCGCTCTCCGGTGACATCATTAGCAATCCATTAGGAAAGATTATCGCTTATTTCATGCTGAGGGCGATAAGCATCACCAAACAAATTATTTTCCCCAGCCATCAATCCATGTTTTTGGCAGATTACATCACAGAGATATAATTCCCAGTAAGATGTATTATGGGAATGAACAAGTCACTACCTGCACTCTGGTTATACTGTGATGCTAGCTCAAGTCTTGATACATCATTGCTGCCTCTTCCATGATGATCAATTTCCTTGACAAGATTATATCCATTATGTCTTTCAGAAGATTGCTGAACTTGAAATTGAGAACATATGGCACAGAATAGGACATTGAAACAGATTCTACACTTATAAGCCATTCATATGGGTGAACATTGGTTACAGGATTCCAAAAGTTGAGATAACCAGTCTTACCGTCAACCAAACCTTTCCATGGTTCAGGAAGAGTGAGATATTACAGTGCATATTTTGAAGCAACAAAAAAGACAGTCATTGTAGCAGTAATTGCAAGAAAAAGCACCAACAAAAATCTTCTAGTTCATCTCAATGAGGTTTATTTCTTCCAGTAAGGTTGTTACACTGGATGCCATCGACGACAAGGTTGAATTCGCCAAATCTACTCATCAATTGCTCCAACTGATCATTATGTTCTTGCACATCTGTTTTCAAATGTATGCCAAGACAGTAGAAGACAACTTCTGCATCACTGATCATAGAAATAAGAGACAGGACATTGATACTACCATGGAACATGTCTCTAGTAGATTCTACTCATCGTGTATAGTTTTTAGGGAAACCTAGAAGCATTTCTACCTCATCAGATTTAAGCGGAACAGCTTTATGCCTTCCAATTCATACCGGATTCCATTTTTGGCACTCATATAGAACATACTTTTGGACACTCAAAGATGACTCATCGTCATAAGCTTCAAGAGCCTTAAGGATCCTTTCTGTCAATTTGGCACTTCCTGTACATGTTTGTAAACAGTTCAACTTTGTTCTTGAAGCCCAGGAAGGCCATCATGTTTAGTCAATGGAAAAGCATCATGTATAGCGCATGTAGGAAGTAGAATAAGAAGAAATCTGTTTTCAATTGGTAGATTATGAATATAGCCTTTTTCCGTGCAGCAGCATGAAAATACTTCGAATCTACAAATTCTGGCTCTACATCAGTACAGTGACATTTTAGTCCAAGCACCAATTGGAGCAAGTTTCACGTTCTCGTAGTAGAAATAAGGAGGCCCAATAGCATCTAGTGGAAATGTTCTTTGAGTTATCTGATCTGTTTCGGAAGAAGTGCGTCAGCAGCCTTTGATATTTGAGCAGCACATATAAAATCTATCAACTCTGTAATTGATGAATTCAGACCACATATCTCCATGGTTATTGAAGCCTTAGCCTCTAAGTATCCCATTTTTGTCAAGTATAACAGTTTATTCTCCTCATCAGAATCAGAATTCATGATTTCCTCGATATCAGAAGAACTATCAATATCTGTGAAATCATCATGAAAGATCGCTTCATAATCAGATGAGTTGTTATCAGAATCAACATGTTGCATGGGTGCGGATTTTTGATGAGCCTGTACCATTGTATATGTAGTCTTGCCATTGCATTAGATTACTGTTCACGTAAATTGGTTTCTCTCCCATAGAAAAGTATATTTCAGAGATAGCCTTCACTGAAAGATGATAAGCCACTGTGTAAGCCTGGAATGGATTACCAAGCGATTTATACCGCTCTGTCTGACTAAATCCCTCCAGATCCAGAAAATAGTCACTTCATTTAGAAGACACAAATCTTAGACGTTTCTGTCAGAATGATTGAGTACTTTTTAAGTTTGTGACAACATGAAGAGAATTCCTCCAGTTACTTGACAACACTACTGTTCAGTGACACTAGAATGAGAGTATTCAAGATAAACAGATTTGGGGCATGAATAAAGCCACAAGTACCCATAACAGTGCATTGTCAAAATTGGACCTCATGAGAATCATGATACATTGAGAGTGAATCAGAAGCAGAATATTGAGGCATCTCGAAAGCCCAATTCAGACAGATCTAGAGGGACATCTTGAGGGCCCATTTTAACCAGAAATAAAATATTGGGGCATTTTGAAGGCTCACAGTCAGTATGAATATTTGGGCATTTTTGAAGGCTCATCTCAACAATAAGTAATGTTGAGCACACTTTTAACATCTGTATCAGCAAATGTTGGGGCATTTTAAAGGTTCCTTCAGACAGATCCATGTGGGGCATTTTGAAGGCTCAGATTAACAAGAAGCAAATGTTGGGGCATGCTGAAAACCCTTTTCAATCAGAATCAGGAATGTTGATGTATCCTGAATATTTATATCAACAAAATACTGGGGCATACTGAAAACCCTTTTCAATCAGAATCAAGAATATTGATGTATCCTGAATGTTTATATCAGCAAAATGCTGGGGCATGCTGAAAACCCTTTTCAATCAGAATCAAGAATGTTGATGTATCCTGAATGTTTATATCAACAAAATGTTGGGGCATGCTGAAAACCCCTTTCAATCAGAATGAGGAATGTTGATGTATCATGAGTGTTTATATCAGCAAAATGTTGGGGCATGATGAAAGCCCTTTTAATCAGATTGAAGAATGTTGATGTATTTTGAACGTTCATATCAACAATTATTGGGGCAGCTGAAAGCCTATTTCAATCAGAATCATGAATGTTGATGTATTTTGAACGTTCGTATCAACAATTGTTGGGGCATGCTGAAGGCCCATATCATCCTGTGTCAAGATCATTGACTTGAAAAAAAATATTTCCAATGAGACATAAAGATATGAAGAATGAAAATGGTGAAACAGTAACAGTCGAGCTGACTATACATAGTTACTTCGTTCATCAGGCAGTTGCATTAGGGTCCTATTGTTGAACAAATATCTACTCAGCAAGTATGGTTTCAAATACCCAATCTTCTTAACCATGTGTCACATGGCAGTGTGTTCTTTATTAAGCTATACCATGGTTGCATGAATAAAGATGATCCCCAGGTAGACCATTCAATCCGGGGTTAAGTTCTTCAAAATCTCAGCTTTGAATTTTGCATTCTCTGTGTCGGTGACAATTGAAAATATTTATTTGAGATTCCTGGCAGTTAGTTTCAACCATACTGTTGGGGTTACGAAGCTGTTTTTCACATCAGCTTTTGATGACATTGAATAAAGAGGCTCGGCTTACGTATATTGCTCTTTCCTGTTATTACTGGGGTTATCATTGTCATTTAGGTTGAACTGAGTTTTCATCCATTTGGTTTTATCATGTGCGTTTCATCCCCAGCGGCAAGAATTCCATGGATATCATTTTGTATATGGCTCATATAGTTGATATGGTTTTACTTCATACAACGCTCATCATAGAAGAAACCATGATCGATATCACATTTTGCCCTTGTCCGAGATAATATCAAGATCATTCAGTGTCTCTTATTCAATTCGACACTGACACATCTTGTGAATTTGACCAACTTTTTGGTCATGAAACACGCCAGCATCTCATTTGTATTCCCACTAAATTTTGTTCTCAAGTGGTCTGGTGACATCATACAAAAGCTTTGGACACTGTGCAAAGAGTTTCCCTGAACATCAATCCAAGCAGAAACCACATGAGATGATGAATGTGTTGGCAAATGTTTTACAAACCAATAATTATGGTGTTGAACCAATGTTGTGATCATATGGTTTCCATTTATTGATCCAAGATGAAGTTTGTCTTTTTCAACCCCAAGGTTTGAAATGAGGTATGATGAAGACTTCTTTCCACATAAGGGAAGCAGAAATTTTAACAACAAGAAACTAGTGGATCCAACGACAGGAATTTCAAAGATTTTTAGCAAATATTCGAATCCATCATTCAATGGATCAACATTTCCGGAAGAGTTCATAATGAGAAAAACTCATCTGAAGAAGAAAGAGGAAGTTCATAATGAGAAGAACTTGTTCAACCTTTTGCTCAAATCCATCACTTGATGGATCAACATTTCCAGAAGTGTTCATAATGAGAAGAACTCATCTGAAAAAAGAAGAAGAAGTTCATAATGAGAAGAACTTGTTCAACCTTTTGCTCAAATTCATCACCCGATGGATCAGCGTTGCAGAGAAAGTTCATAATGAGAAGAATTTATCTGAAGAAGAAGAAGAAGTTCATAATGAGAAGAGCTTGTTCAACCTTTTGCATAACTCTATCATAGAAGGAGATAGATCAACACCAACTTTTCCAGAGAAAGTTCATAATGAGAAGAACTTATCTGAAGAGGAAAAGAAAGTTCATAATGAGAAGAACTTATTTGAAGAGAAAAAGAAAGTTCATAATGAGAAGAACTTGTTCAACCTTGCATTGATTCATCTCC